GGTCTGCCTAAGCTAAGGGAAGTGAATTTATTTATCAAATGGATATTTGTGTAGTCTCAAAGGATTACAACAAATATGCTAGGGTTTGGATTAACAACACAAAGTTCTGCCAATAATTTCCATTTAAAGATAAAAGTAAAAAAGTCAATTGGAATGGCCATTAGTGTTAAACACAGTTCATCCAGATACAATTTAAAGCCATCGCAGGTCATGAGACTAAAAATGTAACATTTAACATTTAACAACAACATTTAAATGAAGTTTATCACGTGATTAAAAGGAAGCACAGACTTTTTCACAAAAATCGACCTGCACACAGGCAAGACCCTCGTGATTTTCACACAGGAAGGAAACGCACGTCAAACCAGCTTCTGTTTTGTCCCCCCATCTGTGCCCAGCCTGCACATCTTCTCGCATTCAACTAACATGAATGTTTGTGGTGTACAGAAAAAGAAACTGCAATGAGGGTGTTAAACTGCAACATTGCAAGTGCACTGTCTTGTGGTCTGTAAACTCAATTAAACTTTTAATCAAGGAAAAAAGTATTTTTCTTCCTGACATTTGAGCTACTTTTGAGAGTTTAACTACATCCACAAAAATACAAATCAGCCTCTGTGTTAGACTTCTGCTGCACCTCAGTGGAATATATGGAAATCAGTTTCCTTGTCAGGAGGAGAACCCCATTCGAGTAGGTGTCTTTATCTCAATACTTTCCAGTGGTCATGAACAAAACTCATGTAGGTGTTTATGGCATGACAGACTACTCAAAAATACAACACTTTTTAGATTGAATCATCACCAAAAACATTTCCTTGTTTCACAAAATGAAAATCAACTTAAATTATCTCTTTATTTACTTAAAAACAACCACCATATAACACCTTTTAACTTTATAAGCACACAGTGTCAGATCCACACTAGAATAAATATTTTTAAAGATGCTACCACTATATCATCACATTAGTGTTAACTGACTCTATCAACTTGTATAAAAGGCACAATACTTTTTTATGTATATGTGGACACTGCTTCAATTCACTTCACCGAAGCTGGCAATAAAGCAAATATTTCTCTTGGCTTTGACATTAAAGACCATTTCATATTATGATATTCAGTGCAGTTAATATATGACAGGAATAGTAATCACTTGGGTAAAGTGATGAGTAAGATTCTGCCTGAGACAGCAGTTTACATTCTTTCAGTGGAGTAAAATTAATATACACACGCAAAAAAAAAAAAAAGCCAATCACCCCCAACTCTTCAGACCTTGTAGAGACCAAAGAAGTTGGCATAATGTGCATGGCTAAGATAATTAGGGTGCGATACATTCACAAGGACTTTGTCATATTTCTGCAGCTGCAGGGCGGAGCCGAGGTAACTCTCTGTGGTCCAGGCGTGTCCCAGCTGCTGGGAGCAGAAACCTGCTCTGTGGGCCTCCATCAGGGTCAGAGGTGAGGGACGCCCTTCTCTCCTCACAAACACTGTGTGAACAAACGAGGATGTAGGGGAACAACCCTTAAAGATCAATTCCACTCGTGAGTAAACGTGATAGAGACCGGTCTCGTTGACTTGCAGAGCGCCATCTTCAAACCGGTAAGCCGCTCCTCCAGAGGTGAACGCCCGACCGGCCTGCGACTCCCATCGCAAAGTCTTGGAGAATCTGTCTTTTTCAATACGCCCTGCAAAATGACAGAAATGATATCGTTCAGTCTATTATGTAGACCACAGGTGGAACCTCAATTTGGTGTCAAATTTAACACATTAAGTTAAAATAAAGGGAAAATATGTAAAGATTCAGAGATAAAACAATTTATTGATTTATAATGATAGATATTTTTATTCAATGTTTTTCTGATGTGCCACAATAATGTAATGTTTTTGAGTTTAAATATCCTTATTTGTGGGCTTTTCCAAAATATTTATATTTGTTGTTTGCCACCCCTTAAAGTCTCCAGGCCACCCTCGTGCCACCCCATGAATATTTCTCTAGAGCCACCTCTGTTATGTAGAATAGAGTATCTCACAGTATGGGTTATATTTTTATTATTATGTTATGTTACCTATCACGTGTGCTGCAGGTCTGTCATCCTTGTCTTCTTCTTTTGACTGAGGTTCATAGATACCTGAAAAAGCCGTCAGATTAGAGTCACATCACCTCTTCTTTTCCTTTATTGGGAACATTTTCTTTATGTTGGGAATAATTTGTGTGTGGGGAAACATGTTTACACTTACCAATTTGCTTCTGAGGCACACTAAACTCCGTCTCAGGTTTCACCTTTAGTGAGAGAAAAGAGAAACAGAGGAACCTCAATACCACATCACATGAGAGGCGGTGCAATCTTCTGCGAGCCCTCTCAGCAGAAGTCAGAAAGAGAGAGAGAGGATATCCTGTCTCACTGGACCGGTGACCACAGATGGAACAATTAAGTCCTTGGTTTGCTTTTTAAATGTCAGAGCAGAGCTGAGGTATATGGACTCTTGTTGACTGATGGCAAAGTATCAAATTAATTATTAAACTTTGCAGTGCTGTGTTAACTTTCCAGCTTGGTTTTCCACTCTCCCACCTTACACCTCCCTAACACCCCCCAGCAAAGGTGCAAGAACTCACACCTTTTTTTTTTCAGCTTTCCCCCCATTAAAACCGTACATGAAGCAAGCATTTCACACAAAGTAATACATTTAGTGTTGACATTATTATTTATTGGCATCCACTGCTCAATTATTACTTCACTTACTTTTTCAGTCATCACTAAATACTTTTTGACCTGCTTCTAATATTCTGCACCCTACTGTCACATCTGTTTTCAACCTCAAATCTATTTCCACACTTCCATAGTCATTATTAGCTTATTAATTCAGTAGAGAATCACCGAATTCATCTCTGTCCATCGCACTCAGTGGACCCTTACCTCTTTAATCTCTCTCAGTTCTTTCTGCATTTTGAAGATCTGGTAGGCTTCTAATCCCAGGGCCGCGAACACGAGCAGGAATAACATCAGCACGACCAGGGCAGCCCCGGTGCTGACTCCCATACAGCCTCGGCTCTTCCCACGGCTCCTCACCCTCTCCTGGGCAGGCGGGAAGGCCCAGCAGGGTACAAGACTCGGTGGCTGGGTGGAGTGCTGTGGACCTCCGCCTCCATCCACAAGGAACACCTGTGGGAATGGGTAGCTCTGGTCACAGCTCATGGTGCAGGTCCTGCCGTGAGACAAACAGTTTGTGCATCTGTTGCCTCTGCACGAAGGAGGTGTCTACTTTTTGTACCTCTGACTTAAAAAAACCAAGCTTCAGCTGTCAAGACTAACCACCCACACGTCCCTCCCACATCATACTGTGGACTGAAGACAAGTTACTTATCATAAACTCACACAAGAAACTATCAACCCATCCATCTATCACTCTCTTTTGATCTGCACTGCTGTATGGCATTTATTTATAACTACAGAACTTTATCACACTTTTTTTTCAAGTTCAATGTTGTCTTTGCACTGTTGGCAACACATTTTAAAACTGCACCTAGGTCTTAAGGAAGAGGTTTCAGCTGACCCAACCTCACTAACCACCATCATGTCATGCAGTGAGACCTTTTCACAAATTCCACGAAAGGAAAAGATTGAGTAACCATGAATAGTCACCTGCAGCTTTTTAGATGACTCTATACAACCTGACATGTGGCCCAGTAAGATACTTTTTAATGTTTCACAATGCAATTTCTTCTTTCATTCTGGGGTGTCACTGTGCCTCTTCAAATCTGGACCACCTCCTGAAACTTATATTATGTATATATATATATATATATATATATAGTATTCAACCAGTTCAAAACTGCTTTATTATTCAAATGTATTATTCTTGCATATTAGTCTTTATGAGGCACAGCATGTTAGTAAACAGTGATACAGCAGTTTCAATAGCACGTAGTGTATTCTTAGTGGGAAGATGCTGCTGCCACATGAAAAGAACTTATGTGTCTGCTTTCCTGCTGGCTGCTTGTGAAGAAGTTGGTAGCGAGAGACAGCGATACTTTACAGGGGTGAGAATTAACCCTAACCAATACCTCAGAGATGAGCTTACAGGAAAGCCGAACATGCTCACCGCTTTCCTGACAGCTCGGTGAGGAGCTAATTTCATTGTGGTCTTTTTTGACATTTTTGGGTTTGTTTCCTAGGATACAGAGCAATTACGCTCCTCCTTCATTGTGGTTTCAACAGTTTCCACACATCATCAGCTTAATGAAGATAGAGATATGTTTAATATAATTTGGCACTGTTAAGTGGGCTTTGGTAGTTTTTGATAAAGGGCATCTTTCCAACCACATAGATGTCCCATCTAGATGTCCCATCTATGTGGTTGGAAAGAAGTTGCAAGAAATAACTAGCTGTACCGCCGAGCGGGCTGCAGTAGTGCCATATCATGCAGTAAAACTTTGGCAAACAGCTTCTTTGTGAAGCGAAGTCAGTGTTGTATATTGTTGTAAATTGCAATGTTAATTTAGGTTTTCTGTGCGTATTTTGGTAAATGCAAAGGCCTCTGCTCCGTCCACTATTGCATAAGTTTCGTTTTGGTTCTCCAGGCCCCTGCAGAGGCAAAGGGAAACACACCTTGCAGTGTGCATTCAGAGCTCTAACTAAAAGGGTAACTGCGTCAAAGTTAACCATAAACTGTGCATGGTGTCTGCACTCTACAAGCTGATGTGTCTGTTTCCCAGAAGTGTCATGCTGAAAGCGGTCCTCGCAGCATCAGTGGCAGTACACAGTAGGTTCAGTGGGAGGGTGGGGTTTTGGGGTCTAACCAGGCTGTGTTCGGTGTTGCTGCTCTAGTTAATGTAATGAGACTAAAATGAATCACTGACTCAGCAAGTATCTCTACCAATAACTGTCGGTTTCTCACACAGTCTCTCTGCTTTCTGTTGCATAATGGAGGTAGTTGTGGTCATGATGACTGATTGCACAAATAGAGTAGTGCCTGAAAATTACATTGAATTTCTGATTACTCACACCTTTTTTGCAAACATAGCTTTTCCCTTATGCAGCTCAGAGAGGGGCTTTAATTCAATATCAAACCTGAGCTTCCCTCCATGACATAATGACAAACCGGGATTCACAGTCCTTGTGTCGGGAAGAATAAGTTACATTTTTACAAAAATCTGTCACATCTTAAATATTACAGAAATTGTAGGCCTCATTATATGAATATGCTGTGCTAACAATTTTGTGTCCATATGACCGTTCACCACAGGGAGCTTCTGAATGAACACCAAGCAATGAGAGGATCCATAAAACATTTCATTGTTATGCGTTATATTTATATAGTTATATCAAAATACATCATGTGTCACACTCTTCATCAGAAGAAGAATAACAGTCTAGTCCCAGGACATGACCTGCCCTCCCCTCTGTTGTCCCAGTGTTGGATGATTTCCCAGGTATCCTCTCTGCTGCTTCACATTCTGACTTGCGGTCTTGGGCGGCGCTTTTCTGTCCAACGACAGATCCCATTGCTGCCTTGTCATCCTTCTCTGTGTCCGTGCTCTGGGTTGAAAATGTTTGCCTTAATGAAGCGTTAACGAGGTTTGGCAGGCCAGACTGCAGCACCCTGGCTAGGCTCTGTGTTTGAGTGGACCCTGTCTGAGCGGATGGCCCCCTGAACGCAGCAGCGGCCACCGCCAGCCTCGTATGATCGAAGGAGAGGGGCTGGTCCTGGTCTGTAAAGACTGTCTCTGAGGTTCCTGAGATGTGGGGGAAGGGGCTTTGAAACCTGGTCTCTGAAATGCTGAGAGGTCTCTCTGAGGTTTTGCGACATCCTGTCCAACTGCAGGCAAACTCACTTTCACCATCTCTGCACTGAATGCTACTATCAGGTGACTCATAGGGCCGAGGGTTTTTCGCTGTAAGTGAGAGTGAAGATACACAAAGAGATGAAATGTCAGTCTTAAAGGAACAGTTCATCCAAAATGAAACAGAAACATATAAAAGGACATTAGAAGTAATAAATTAAGGTTATACAGTTGTATAATGTTTTCTTGTAGGTCTTTTCGTTCCCAAAAATAATTAGAAAAAAATATTGTGTGTACAGGCTTGTAGACAGAAGCTGTCTCACCACCTGGTTATGCAAAGCTCTGAAGTTCTGGAAACTTAATAAAACTACTCCAAACAGTGTTCTCAATCACACATTGGGTCCAGTAGTTAATCAATTTTATGCACTCCCAAGGCACTCCTGCTTCAGTTATCTGACAGACGAGTCTACTGCCTTCATGTGCGTCTTGGAAGCTCTGAATACTAAATTATTGTAAATACAAATTGTTGCATTTCCAAAAAGAAAAAAATTAAATCAAACGTTGTTTTTTAGGTCAGTTTCTAGAATCAGGTGGAACAGAGCTGCTGGCAGAATGAAGAGTTTCCCAAAACGAGAGCCCAATAAAAATGAAATGTCCAAATACATAATGAATCTGAAATTGATATTTTCAATTTACTGACTTGAAGATGTTATCTAACATCCATTCTATGTGTACAAAGTCACATCTTGGCATCTTGCTGTCATCCAATATTCCCAACATTCCCATTACCTGTTCCCATTTGTTTCTAACTCTTCATTGGGATATTTAACTAAGCTAAGCCTGAAGCTACTTGTAATTCTGGTAACTTGCAATGTGTGATCCTGGCCCACAACCTTCACCTGTATACTGACTAATATTTATGTGGATTAAAAAGACTCTTGATTATGATTCTTTAAAAGAGAGTCTAAACAGGACGATGTTTTTACTGTCTGTATGACATTAGGTATAACATTAATCAAACACACTGACCGATACTTGCAGACTCTTGTGTGTCTGCTCTCCTCTTGCAGTATGCCCGAGGAGTCCACGGCTTCTGTTTACAGGAGGGGTCAAGGACTCGTAGTTTGGCGATGAAGCTTTTGTACTCTCTCTCTAAAGCCTCAATGTGCAGCTGGAACTCTGCGATCTTCCTCTCTGGGTAATGAGACAGCTGCGACTGCTGAGAGGGCAAAAACAGATGTCATTAAACATTGGGCAGGGGGTTCATTATCACTGGAAACCATCTAGAATATCCATTTTACACATGACTACGTCACTTACCTGCAAGTAATACTCAATTTCATTCTTGATGCTGGGGATCCACTTTTTCACAGAGGAAGTTGAATTAAGAGAAGACTGTGAAGACAAATGTTGGCTGTAACAAGCTGGTCCGAGTGGCACTGATTGTTAACTAACATAATGATAATCATTTATAACGTTGTTTAGTACCAGCTTGGGTCTCCGCTCATGTATATCTTTGAGCCGTCCCTCTGTACATGAAATGTTGAAAGAAAACATTAGTTTAAGGTGCATTGAAGAGATTAGTTTTTACTCTGAGCAGCATGTTGAACGCTAGCTGAGGCTTTTCTTTCTCATTTCAACCAGTGTTACTGTAACAACTATCGGTTAGCATTAGCTGTGTGCAGCAGGGTGTTTTTAGCGGCCAAACATGAATTCAACGACAGTGTACCCTCTCTCTCCTTCTGGAGCCACAGTCTGTTCAGTCTCCCCTGCTGCTTCTCCTCGTTTCTAGCCATTTCAACTCCACAGGAAGAGAGACAGGACCGAAAGACCGAGAGAGAGGACCGAGCAGACAAAACAATGTCACGTGACACATAGTAGTAGCCACCACGTGAACTACCTACTAACTACCGCGAGAGCCGGACGTCATCAACAGTCCACTTAAACACTTGGGAAAGTTTTTTTCTTTTTTCTGCTTTTTATGTTACGACAGAGTATTAGGACCTTACTAAGAGAAAATATATATTTTTTTGGGAAATTACCAGAATAAAGACGAACAGCGGCTGCTGGGCTCAGGCTGAGGCTGCTGATTGGTTGAGCTGCTCATGTCAGATCTTGATAACTATCGAAGCTTTTTTCTCATTAAAACGATTACATTATTATTCTATTATTACGACTTTATTCTCGTAATATTATGACTTTATTAATTTCCAAAAAAATAAAATAATTGTTTTTCTTAGTCTGGCCCTAATACTCCGTCGTAGTAGCCTATGTAGAAATAACACAAAGCAATTATAAAAAATAAAATAAAATGAAACATATAGTTAAAGGTTTGCCTCTCATGTAGCCTTTTATCATTACTGCATTCACATTTGTTTTTCAGAAAGATAAATCCCAAGTTTACTGCTGTCCTTAATCAAATATTGATTGACAGAAAGAGAGTCAAGACCTACGATCAGG